AATGGCGCACTTCATGCGGACTTTCGGTCTCGTGGACTTAAATTGCGCGTGCTCGCCGAGTCTACGAGTCCGTAGGCCGTCCCATTTAGCATTGTAACGCTCTGAAGTGTGCTCAGCAGCGCCCCCTGTGTACCCTTGAACCGGTCTTCCGCGAAGCCCGTATAGATGCAGGCTCCACGCACTTTAACTACCCAGGAATCCTTGCGAAAGGCCAATCAGACAACGGATGGGAGGAGATTTTGCTCATGGACAATTATTAACATGGCTGGGAAGAAAATATTTAAGTGTAATTATGATTACGGTTTTTATGACAAGTTTATACAAACATTATGTTCATCGACCAGTGGTTGATGATGTCTCAAACATAGGCTAATAATAGCGAGCTGAATAATACGATCGCATTATGATTCATTAAATAAATAGAACAGAATGTCAGGGCTTTACTGAGTCATATGTAAACACAACAACAATAGGCAGGATATTTCCCTGAACCTGCAGCTCCTGTCCATAACAACAATCAGACCGTCTTCCTGTTTCCGGCGTGACGATCGAGTCTGTCCCAAAAATACCAATCAATGCGCCCTCGCAGACTCGCGCTAAGGACCCTATAGGTCTGCACTACATGACGTCACCGAAGTGTGGACTCTGAGGAAGTCCACAACTCCGGAGTGTGCCATTTGGGACAGGGCCTTATTGTTTGTTATCTGTGATATTTGCTGCAGAAGTTACCCTGAGGTGTTAGTCATTGACCTACAAGTAAGCATGTTTGCCTTATGTTTGTGTTTATAGGGACTGGTATTTAGTTATTTATAATTGCGTCATGCAGGCATGTCCAGACATGCCCTCAGCTATTGTTTCTGTTAGTTTAGTTTAATAACGTAGTTCCATTTGTGATTATTTCTTCTTTATTGAGATGTATATCACTATTTGGGTTTTTTGACGATTCTTTTGGGATGTGGATTTGATGTTTTGAGCTGTTTATACCAAACGAGCGATTGCAATCTGATATGCTGTGCTATCCATATATAGAGTGATGTTTATTATGTTCGATGATTGCTTATGGTATAGGGTAATATATTACATCTCATAATTCAGTTGAATTCATTATGTATTGTGAAATTTAATTACATTTTTATACAAGTTTTGGTTCACTAATTTTATTACATTAAATGGTATTGTATTGTATGATGTTCTGTATTAAGATTAAATTATGCCATAAATCATAATGCATTAGTACACAAATGACATGCTTGAAATAAAAAAAAGCATATTATGCCCTATTGCTTAATAAAAAATAACTTTGTCACAAAACACACTTAAAAATGGTATTTCTTTAAAATAAAAGATTATTATATGAATTAAGGGGTTTGATTACATTAAGATTTGTGATTCCATAATGTTATTATACTGTTCTTTAGTCAAGGCTTGACAACCAATTAAATATTTATACCCACAAAACATAGCTTGCATTCTGTAATTTATTTAAATGTCTAAACTGTTATTAAGAAAATAGTAATATACACAAATAAACATTATGTTATGGCTCTTTTAATAAATAAAAGTGTACCTGTAACATATTGTGCCGATTATTGTTTTAAAAAATGATGACATAATTATAATTGCACTACTAACTGCTGTGAATACGGTAGGGCAGTATCAGTGCAGTATAAGCTCAGGTAAAGCTCATAGCACGATCATCGGATAACGTTAGCTGTATGCTATGCTACTATCTAAGCTAACTAAAAAACACACTAACAACGAGAAATGTTTAATTTCACAATCTATAGCTTCGGTTAAATACTAGTATATGAAACGTATAATTTAAAATACATTAAATACATTAATGACTCGTTATACCGTAGTACAAACGTCTTCTATAATAAAGTGATTTTGTATGATTTGTAACCAGGCACCAAAGCGATTACCTAGAAAACATGCTTTGAACCAATCGGATTGCTTGGGTCCTACGCCCGGACTATTCACACCGAGTGACCGGATTATTCACCACACCGGCAGATATACGCCCCTGGCAGTTTTACGCCCGGCAGTTTTAGGACCCTGTTGTTCCTGATGCGTCCAGTAGAGGGATATACTGCGAAATAACATCATTAAATCGACGCTTAATAAGCCGTCCGTAGACTTGACAATTTTGTGTTTTTTGTTAATTTAAATATAAACGTTATAGTGTAGATCTGCACGGATTAAATTATCTGTTTAACAAAAAAAACAAGGGGGGTAAACGGACATCAAAAGAGATTGAATTAGGTTACACAAATCAATGCAATATTACATTTTGTCAATATAAAAACATGTAAGGTTCTTTACAACAGACTCAATGATATTATTTGTTTGATAAACCTTTGAGTTTAAAGGTTCTGACATTTTCTTAAAGGAAGAAAAAAATGAACTATATCAGAGGAGAATATTCTAGAATCAGGATTACTTTGAATGGTTCTGTCTTTATGAAGATGAAACTTGCCCAGAAGACAAAGTAATAATACCGTATAAGCAAGTTTAACATCGTTAGAATTAAAATCTGACAAAAATAGATACTGTCATTTGTATGTTAAATAATCTGCTAAAGTTATTGTTTTTTAGCAATGATGCAACATTTATTATTTATAAACGATTAGCTCGATAGAGCTAGGGTAGGTAGATATCAATTCATTTATATATCAATGGATGGGTCTATAATGTATTTTGACAGGTTTCTGTTCTATCTGGCTTAAACTTAGCTAACCACGTGTAGGTTTAGGGGTATCTTCTCTACTCAATTTAAAATTAAAATTTTAATTTTCTTTTGTTGCCTGTCTTTAGCTTGGCCTCTTCTGGTAAGACTCTGTTTACTCCTTGCATTAAAACATACTCCACGTGGTTTATAGAGCAATATTACAGTAGATAATGGAAATATGTTAATTTTTTTACAGTCTATGGTGTGAACACACAAAAGACACATTTATAATAGGTATGTAAATCTCTCTCTCTCTCTCTCTCTCTCTCTCTCTCTCTCTCTCTCTCTCTCTCTCTCTCTCTCTCTCTCTCTCTCTCTCTCTCTCTCTCTCTCTCTCTCTCTCTCTCTCTCTCTCTCTCTCTCTCTCTCTCTCTCTCTCAGTAAAGAGTTAAACTGCCCACTCACTCAAATACGTTAAGACACATTAAAAACTTTCCCCATATGGTTTGAATGTAGATTCTGGTTTGAGTTGTTTCTTATAAATGAGATGATCTAATTATCTCATTTATATCTTAATATACATTTTTTTCTTAAAATAGCTTACTGATCTGGACTCAAATGTAGGGTATGTGCACTTAATGTGGGTTTTATCATACTCTGTCTTTACAAGTTCTCTTTAACTTGGATCTCATAAAGGTGTGTTTGCTTTAGCTACTTAAAGAAACACACACACACACACACACACACACACACACACACACACACACACACACACACACACACACACACACACACACACACACACACACACACACACACACACACACACACAGGGACAAGGTCAAATTCACCATGGATGTCCTTTTTAAACTTTTTTAATGTTTCATTTTTAAACGTTTCATCAGTGAGCAGGAGCAGTTAAAGAAAAAAAAAAACAGTGGCAAACCATAGGGGAGTCATCATAATTCATAAATGGTGTTAATAAATATTTTTTTGTGAACAACAATATTGTCTATATCTTCTAAATGGCCCATGGAATTTTAGAAAAGGGATAAATTGTGTTTGTCTTCATAAAATGCTGTGTAGGACACTGTTTTGTAGCTGTATGATGACCAATAGAATAGTACAGCAGATATTTCATCGAGGATCCATATTATTACACGGTACTGCATGTCTAATGGGCTAAATATAGTTAATATCTAAATGTGACTTTATATAAATTCACAAAAACATATTTCACTCAGTCTCCTGTATATAAAAACCTACGGTGAATTGGCCTATAACTGCAGTAGGTCATAGCATCACCTGTCATAACACATAGTTGATCCAACTATGCGTATTTTTAATTTTTCAATTCACAAAAACAAATAGTCTTCTGTAGGTTGAGTGAAGAGAGTGAAGCCCAACTGAATATCTACAGAAAATTTAATCTGTGGAGATCTACACTGTAACGTTTATATTTAAATTAACAAAAAACACAAAATTGTCAAGTCTATGGACGGGTTATTAATGTGTAAGCGTCGATTTAATGATGTTATTTCGCAGTATATCCCTCTACTGGACGCATCAGGAACAACAGGGTCCTAAAACTGCCGGGGCGTAAAACTGCCAGGGGCGTATATCTGCCGGCTCCAGGTCTGCAGCCTCCCCATATAGGCTGTACGCTCAACAGCTAGAGAATACCCATAATGCACTGTGAGAGTCGAGCGCTGAATGAATTCCCGGAGCCTGCAGCTGAATCAAATCTATCCATTTTCCAAACCGTGCTGGTCCAGCGTAATATCATACCGGTATAAATTCCTTTTTAATTTGTTAGTAAATTGTTTAATTAAGGTTTATATGCTAGTTTCCATGTCAGAGTTCAAGATACATCTTTTCATTACTACTGGAGCTGCCAGTTTGCTACATTTCAAATGATTATTATTAAACAGCAAGCACAAACTATACAAAATCGGCAGCCCTTCCGGCGCACTCAGTGTCCGAATTCACTCTCTCATTTTCATCAACTCCTTCAAGTGGACTATATTAGTGGAGTAATGAATAGTGAATGAAGGTAGGGGGGCGATTTCGAACACAGCACATGCGTATATCAGGGCTAGCCAATCCTGCTCCTGGAGGGCTACCATCCTGCAGAGTTTATCTCCAACTGTAATCAGACACACCTGAACCACCTAATTAAGGTGCTTAGGATTAGTTGAAAACAACAGGCAATTGTGTCTGAGCAGGGTTGGAACTGAAGTCTGCAGGAAGGTAGCCCTCCAGGAGCAGGGTTGGATACCCCTGGTATAGATTCAAACAAATGTCTAGCTGTTGAACGAGAAATACTCACATCATTGCCTGTCTCAGTTTTGGTGGGGTCTGAGGCAGGAGGGTGTACTGACTGAGGAGGCAGGTGGATGAGGGACAGGGGTGCTGGGCTGCACGGGCCGCAGTGGGCTGCCACCCCCATTGAGCTGGTTCTGGTGGAGTTCTGTGAGAGTCTGTGAATGCTGGCATCTGAACGTGCTGTAATGCGTGAGTTCTGCGATCTTTGAGTGCTGTAAACTGATCTGGGAGAGTCTTCATGTGTGTCTGTACTCTCTGTGTCTGAGTCTGTGTCAGCATCCATGTCGTCTCCAGAGTCAACATAGGTTTGTTCTTCTGTGTTCTCAGTGTTTTGTTGTTGGTCATCCGCTGTGTCGTGAGTTGTCACCTCTCTCTGAAGGGTCATCTGTCTCTCAGGCTCATCCACTGGATTTGTCATCCTCTCAGCTTCCTGTGGCCGAGGTTTTCCTAAAACAAATGCATTGAAAATATATTTTCTTTCACATGTTCTTCATTTTTTTTCTGTTTATGAAATGTTTTCTGTTTAATTGCTGTCGAGTTGCCTCTAATAAACATACTGTAAATATACACTACTGTTCAAAAGTTTGAGGTCTGTAAAATGTTTTTGAAAGAAGCCTCTTTGCTCACACAGGTTGCCTTTTTTAATAAAAAATACAGTGAAAAAAAAGTAAAATTGTGAAATGGTATTATTACTGGTAATTACTGGTATTATATCTGTTTTCTATTTTAATATATTAGATATATATTTCTGTGATGGTAAGGCTGATTTTTCAGCATCATTACTCAGTCTTCAGTGTCACATGATCCTTCAGAAATCATTCTAATATAATGATTTGGTGCTCTAACATTTACTATTATCAATGTTGAAAACGGGTGTGCGGCTTAATATTTTTCATCTTTGATGGATGTAGTTCAAAAGAACAACATTTATTTGAAATAGATTTGTATACATTTTATAACATGATAAAAAACTCTCATCAGTTTTGACCAATTTAACGCATCCTTGCTGAATCAATTATTAGTTTATTTGGAAAAAAAAGTACTTACCCCAAACGTTAGAATCATACTGTACATGTAACAGTGTGCATAAAATCATACCGCAAAACTTCATTAAGTCTTTAAAGCAACACCAAGCAACTTTTCCTCTGCGGTCGCCCTACAGGTTGAAAGCGGAATTGTCCATTACCGCTGTCGTAAATAATTTAGCCTACCGCATCCTACTGTCGCACGCGCACGCACATGCTCTCTGTTTATCCAGCACCGGCTTTGGAATCAACAATGGCCACAGACAAGGTAGAATATGATGCATGATTTTATGAAAGTGTAGTTGTAGTCTACTGTTGAGTACGCTCCACCTATCGGCAATTGTAACGCTTGCCGTAAAGCAAGTCAAATTTGTAGTTTTCTTATGTCTCATTCGCACTACAGAAACGCGACCCGATCTGGCAATCTTACATAGTGTGGATATATCAGATAATGGACCGCAAAGCGGTGGCATAAGTGCATTTCACCATGTCACGACTTGATGAACCACTGAAACGATTTTGAAAACATTATTTTAAGGTAAAAATTCTTCTTTAGTGTTGCTTTAAATGCTGCCTACCTTATTTCAACATAAACTCACCAACAACAAATGCTGGTTGATCCTTTTTCTTCTTCTTTTTAACTTTAACTATTGAGTTCTGGGCTTTTTCAGGCTTTTCCTTTTCTTCTTCCTCAGCCTCTTCTATTTTCTGTTTTTCTGTTTTCTTTTTCTTCTGCAGATTGAGAGCATACTATAACAATTATAATGTGTATAAAATAAATGAGAACATATGGACTAGTATGTAACTCACTTTCTTTGAGGTAGAAGTGGGATCGTCGGGGACGCTGGTATTCTGGGTCTCGATGTCTTTGTGAATTTGAACGGTCTTCCCCTTTGATTTGACTGTTTGCTTATCAAGCTTTTTATTTTTCTTTACTTTCTCCACCAGGGTGTGTTGTGAATCTTCTCTTCCACCTGCGTTCTTTGAATGACCCATGCTGTCAAAAATAACAACAAAGGATATCAAATATTAATGGGAATCAACTGGAGCACAGTGTCGGAAGTCTGGTGTTGGGGTTAAGATATAGCCCAGATGGAGTGAGGTAGGGAGTGAGAGAGATTTACTGATAAGAGCTCAGATGTGAAGCGATACCCTAATCTCCTCTCGGCTTTCTCACCGCTCACAGGGCCTGAGAAGGGTTCGGGCTGAAATCTGAGCTGCAATCAAAGAGCGCCGGAGACTGGGACGGATGGAGTGACGAGAGAGGAATGCAAACAGTGATTAGACAGGATATTAATGAGTCCCCAAAACCTTGGAGCCAGGCTGTTTGACCTCTGTCTGACCTCTGACTCGAAGTCACAACCTGCTTTGTGTATGCCCAAAACATGACGGGAATGCAAGCAGGATGATGATTGAAGAGGTAAAAACTGATGAAGCGGCGGAAAGCGAGAGGGTGGAGCTCAGGGAAATTAAAAGGACATTTAGGGGATTGATTGTCCATTCATTAGATAAAGCACTGGGTCGTATTTATTATTATAAAACCCTCTAACCCTCTCTGATAAACTATAATTATAAACTATAACTGCCACTTAACCAAAACAGTATTTTGTTTCACTCTGACCGGGTCATAATTTAGAAAAAATAATATAAACATTTGCAACAATTTAGTCCCTTATGTATCATTTATTTGGATAGATAGGTTACATTTGCACACTGGGAACATTATTCAGGGAATTTATTGTCATTTGGCTTTCCGAATTCAAATACACAAGCATGGCAATCATGCTTACCGGTGCTGCACATCAGTACAGAATTTATAAACACAAACACAAGAGCACAACATGACATGTGACTGAGACTCACTCTGCTTCCAATGCTAATCCTGTCTGGATTTCTGTCAGTCCTTCAGGAGACAGAGACTCCGGTGAATGTGATCTGGGAGTGAAATGTGTTGATTTTGGGATGATAGCAGGCGCAGCACCTTTGGTCTTCCTTGACCCCCGTGTCACCCCTGTTTCCAGCTGTAAAGTTGTCTTTCCTTTTCGTTTTTTTGGGACCCCATTGGCCTCCTCTCCTGTGGGCAGAGTCACAACTATTTACTGTTTTTGTGAATATACAGAGACGTTTAGGTAAAACACTTAATGGATTTGAAGCAAGTAAATGCAAGAATGGTTCTTGCTCTATTCTTTTAGATGGTAAACAGAGTCTACTCAGACTGTAGAATATAGGGCAGAGCTTAGATACCAGATCAGCACCATTGCTCTTTATGTTTCTGTGTTGAGCTGTAACTCAGGTTACCGGTTTTGTTGAACTGCTGAGTTGTGGAGCTGCTCATTTCCTCTAATCTCTCCTCAGGTAAATAGACCTTGAGAGAGACGGGATAAGACTCAGTCAGATTAAACCAGGCGTTAATGGATAACTTATAATTGCATGCTACATGTTATACCAGTGGATGTGCATCCTGAATTATTTCACCGTCAGAGCTGAAACAATCCTCCATCCTCTTGGAGTTAATCTGCTTTGCACGTGATTTGACCTTAATTACCTACAGAAAACATTATCGCTCTAACATACCGTTTGTAAAATATATTTTTTAAATAAATGAATTCGGTAACACTTTAGTTTAGGGTCCAATTCTCACTATTAACTAGTTTGTTGTTGGCAGGCATATTACTAAGATTTTGACTGTTTATTAGCACATCATAATGCCTTATTCTGCATGAGCATATTCTACATCCCTTATCCTACCCAATACCTAAACTTAACAACTACCTTACTAACTATTAATAAGCAGTAATTAGGAGTTAATTAAGTCATAGTTAATAGTTAAACTAACAACTAAACTAAAGTGTGACCATTAATTCTTATATTAAGCAAGGATCCATTAAATTGATCAAAAGTGACACTAAAGACATTTATAATGTTAAAATAAGATTTCTATTCATCAAAGGATCCTGAAAAAAATGTATCGCTGTTTTACAACAAAATATGAAGTATCACAACTGTTTTCAATTTGATAATAAGAAATGTTTCTTGAGCAGAAAATCATTATATTAGAATGATTTCTGAAGGATCATGTGACACTGAAGACTGGAGTAATGATGCTGAAAATTCAGCTTCACAGGAATAAAATTACATTTCAAAATATATTCAAATAGAAAAGTTAGTTTAAATTGTAATAATATAAATCACAATATTACTTTTCTTCACTGTGTTTTTAATCAAATAAATTATACTGACCCCAAACTTTTGAATGGTAGTGTATTTCATTGTGATTTCTTAAAAATCAGTTATCCTGAAACTCTAGTTCAAGTGTTGCATGGTAGCAATATGGTTTAGGCTTCATATTATGAAATTAAGTTAATCAGTTTTAAAATAGTGTTCCACATGATATAAAGGTAAAATAGGAAGATTAACCTGTGTCTCCTGGATTATTTCACTGTCAGCGTCTAAACGATCCTCCTTTCTCTTGGCATTACTCTGCTTTGCACAGGATCTGACCTTAAACACCTACAGAAAACAGCATCTCATATATTTTGAGTTTGTTATTTCATCTACCTGTAAATGTATAACTCTTAGGTCCGCTGGTCTGAAGATATTTTAGGCTTCACAGATTATTAAGGCTGCAGAGATTGAAGGTGTCTAATCTCATAATACCATGCTAAACAAGAACAGGTGGAAGAGGAAAGAGGAAGACTCACTTTTTCCTCCTGAATTATTTCTTTGGCAGCTTCTAAACAATCCTCCTTCCTCTTGGCATTACTCTGCTTTGCACGTGATCTGACCTTAAACACCTACAAAAAACAGCACTTTGCTTATTTTGAGTTTGTTATTTCCACTTAATTCTGTAGCTTTTAGGTCACTCTAAAGATTTAGACTTCACAGATTTAACTTTCTAGCTGCAGACGTTGAAGGTGACAAATCTCATAACAGCGTTCTAAACAGAACACAGGTAAAAGAGGAAGACTCACCTCTGCCTCCTGGATTATTTCACTGGCAGCGTCTAAACAATTCTCCTTCCTCTTGGCATTACTCTGCTTTGCACGTGATCTGACCTTAAACACCTACAGAAAACAGCATCTCTCATATTTTATTGTGATTTCCACAAAACCAGTTTGAAACTTTAGGTGAACTCTTACTTGGTTGTAACAAATCCCATAGTGTGCTAAAAGAGGAACTCACCTGTTCTTGAATTATCTGACAGTCGGAGCCTAAATCATCCTGATCATCTTCTGCATTATTCTGTCGTGTGTGCGCTTTCCTCCTAAACACCTACAGAAAAATTCACATGTGTGATTACAGTGGTTCCTGTTTTCATTCATTGCAGCCCCTCTCTTTCCAGTCTATCTGTAATGTTCCGTTTTCTCCAAAAAGCACAAGTGCTCTGATTGGTTGGCTGGACAAGTGTGTTGTGATTGGTCAACCGCATTGAGTGTGTTTCAGAAATGTCACGGCCCTAACCATAATCACGAGTTTCAACAATAACGCAACTCAACCAGGCCTCGTCCCCTTTACGGCGGCAGTGGCTCAGTGGTTCATGTGGGTTGTCTACAAACCGGAAGGTTGGTGGTTCAATCCTCGGTTCCACCTGACCAAGTGTCGAGGTGTCCATGAGCAAGACACCTAACCCCAGCTGCTCCCGACGAGCTGGATGGCGCCTTGCGGCGTGAATGTGAGGCAAATGTAAAGCGCTTTGGTGGCCATTGGGTCTGTGAAAGCGCTATATAAATGCAGTCCATTTACCATTTTACTTTATTGTGCATTTGCCTTGGGCAGGGATTTTTAAAATGAGGAATACTCTGACGTGTCCGTTCCTGGAAGAAAACTCAAGACTACAATGGAGGCGCTTCAGGGAGTTCAGAAACAGTGTGCACTGATCTAGAGAATAACTCCCTTTGGAGGGACTTTGTGCTCTGTAACTTTGCAGAGTTTTTGACTTTTTTCATGCTCAAACAGCAACATTACACACTAAAGAAAGTTGAAAATGTAAAAGAAATAGAGAAAGTCATAGAGATTCGGAAGGACTTACCTGTACATTATTAACTAGTTTATCGTCAGAGCCAAAACAATCCTCATTCTCATACACCTCTTCTTCTTCTTCTTCTTCATTTTCTTCTTCTTCCTGTTCTTCTTCTTCTTCCTGTTCCTCCTCCTCCTCTGCATTAGTCTCTGCGTGTGTTTGGACCTTAAAAACCTACAGAAAGCAGCATCTCACTTTTTTTGTGATTTTTCATAAAGACATGATCCTGCAATTCCCCGGAGAACAACGTTGATTTAATATTCAGCTGTATACATGTAAAAAGACTCACCTGTGTCTTCTGTAATGTTTTATTGTAGGAACCTAAAATATGCTGCTTCTTCTTAGCATTCGTTTTCTCTGCAAGTTGACTGACCTTAAAAGCCTATAAAAAAACACCACACAAATATGGTGTGATTTTCACAAAAACAATTACCCTGAACAATTCAGGAGGACTCATAGATCATCAACGCTTTCTGGCCGAAGAAGTTGCAGTTATGATCAAAAACCTAAAGAAAATGTCTGATTAGTTTACATTGCAAAGTTCTTGTGTTTTTGCCATTGCTCTGCACAATGTTAAGGATCACACAGGATGAAAAACTTCTCTGGTGCCAAAAAAGCACTTAGCAATGTCCTTGAATCAGACTAAAGACTAAATCAATGTAACAATAGATTGCACCATACATGTTGCTTGATTTAATAACAACTACTGGTCAACACATGCTGTGCTTCACACTGAGGTATAATAAAAAAAAAAAATTAATTCAGAAGAAAAGCATGCTGACTTTGTCTGCGTAATGGAAATCTAATTAATTTGGGAACAGAACTGGCTTTGATTCAAAGAGATTAATCTGACTTTGCTATATTGAGGTGGAGTGCACTGAACTGTAGTTCATGGTTAATTCCTTTTCTCTCACTGTGAAATATTTCATACTAGATTATAAAAGTGTCTCTCTGACTCTCAGCAGATATAGTGAGATGTTTTGTGATCCAGGCAGGATGGAAAGGTTTGCTTGAGGTCATACCTTATGACTAGAGTCAAGCTGTTCCATGTTAGAAGTAGTTTCTTCAGATGTACTAGTGGCGACCTCTGCAAACAGAAATAGTATGTTTCTGCATGACTTTTTAAAGGAGTTAAAGGGAACACTTTAGTTTAGGGTCCAATTCTCACTATTAACTAGTTGCTTATTAGCATGAATATTACTAGGATATTGGCTGTTTATTATACTTATAACGCACACATTAATTCCTTGCATGACCATATTCTCCATCCCGTAATACTACCCAATAACTAAACTTAACAACTACCTTACTAACTATTAATAAGCAGTATTTAGGGGTTTATTGAGGCAAAAGTCACAGTTAATAGTGAAAATTGGACCCTAATCTAAAGTGTGACCAAAAAATGTATACTTTTATTCAGTCAGGAAGGATGCATTCATTTAATGAAAAGTTACAGTAAAGATTCATAATTTTTCAAACTATTTCTATTTCAAATAAATTCTGTTATTTTGAACTTTCTGTTCATCAAAGAATGCTGAAAAACATCATGTTTTCCACAAAAATGTTAAGCAGCAGTACTGTTTTCAACATTGATAATAATAAGAAATGTTTCTTGAGAAGCAAATCAGCATATTAGAATGATTTCTGAAGGATCATGTGACACTGAAGACTGGAGTAATGATGCTGAAAACTCAGATTTGCCATCACAGGACTAAATGATCAAATATATTAAGAGACAAAAACATTTAGAAAAAAATCTTACAGATAGTAGTGTATTCTACGTGACTCAAGAATAATTTGTGTGGCTAGATGCAATAAGAAAGATAGCCTGTGTTCATTAAAATGGAAGTCATTCTGTATCCTTGGAGGTTCATTACTTACAAGTTTAGAAATCGTAATTGCCATGTAATATGCGGTCAAGTGATTTTCTTTGGAATGAAATGGACTCACTGCACTATTTTGTCTTCTTGACAAAGACAGATTTTTTTTTTGTGCTAATTCAACAAAATAAAAAAATGAAGAGTAAACATTGCACATTAGGTATTTAACTGATACTTTGTCTGTAATTTGTCTTTATCGTATCAGTTGAAATAAACCAACTAAATGAATCTCAATCAACTGTAAACAAGATGGCAAAATAAATTGTACCATCAACATTCACAATAATAGATTGTTATGATCAATACCAGTTTTCTTCTGCCACAAATCTTGACACACACCTTGGAAAGTCAGGTCTGGTAAATCTCCCACTGGTAATTATGACTTCATGGTATAGTGCTCAGCTTATAAAAACAATCATTCTGACATGACATGAATGCACTGAGTTGTCGCAAGACTAAAGTTTAGTATGCTTGCGTCGCCTCTAATCACGTGGATGAACCTCATGGAAAAGTGCTGCATTCCACCAGGGGGCACAACTAACTTAGGCCTGTCCCAAACATGATCGCTCACAAAAACCTCAACAGCACATGACAGCCAACATGAAAATGTATTTATAATAGTATGTTTATATGTCTAGTCATTTCTCAGTCAAATCTTTTTGTCTGAGAAAATAGTTCTGAAGTTACTCTGCGGTTTGATTTAGGTTGTAGAATAGCAACCGCAGCTTCTCAGTTTGCTACTTGTTCAATGTATTTTGCTGGCACGGATATTCTCACACAAACTTTTGAATGCCAGATTTCTGTCTTCTGCATTAAACCATGAGACAGCGAGCATGTTCAGTGTCCTGCTGTAGGATCCGCAGTGTTTTCTTTGCCTATAGTCAGGACACAGAGCGGCCAGTTATTTTGCACCCCTGCACCGGTCACTGATGGTTTATTTTTCAGCAAGTCTGTCTGCTTTAATGGGTTCCAGCGCTGCTTTGATGTCAATGAGGCAAAGAAACGGGTGTGTGGAGGAGATAGACAGTACGAGGGAGCGAGTTTAACTGAAGGGGGATGGAGAGAGCCTCACATGTTCGCCTGTAAGGCAGTGTGAATGCAGCAGCGACCCCGTTCTCAGGAGAGAAGGGCTGCATTTGGTTCCACATTCTTGCTGTGCGCTGTGAGTGGGACCTCTGCTCTGTCTCTCCACACCCCACTCACCTTCCTCGCCCTCTGATCTTACCCACCCGGCCACTGCAATTATTCATCCTGCATGACACAATTCCTGCCAAAAAGCAACATGAATGCTCTTCTGCTTGCTTTCTTGTCCTCTTTTTTTCTTGATTTTGTCTGTCTCACTGGTCACTAGATTTGTTTTAACTGGATTTGGACTTCTTTCTACATATAAAATATAATATAAAACATTATGTCTGTCATGACAAGTCTCTGAGAGATTGGCATGGTAATTGATATGGCAAAGTGAATGTATTTGGTCTTGGCGGAATAGATGTGCTACGCTGCTGCTGTTGATTATTGCTGCTGCTGCAGAGCAAGTACATAGACTTACACTCCTGCCAATACATTCACAGACGTGCTGTTTTGAGCATGTAAGATATGCTGCTGCACATATAACATACATGAAATAACCAACGCTCGCTATCTCACGACCAATTCGTACGAGTGATTAAAAGGTGGCTAATTCGTACTAATTCATACGACCTCACTCGTACGAATTTGTACGATTTGTCTAAACCCACGTGATGGGTAGGTTTAGGGGCGGGGTCAGGGGTAGGTCATTCGTACGAATTCATACGAATTTGGTAACTCGTAAAATATGTACGAATTAGCAAAAATCGTACGAATTTGTACGAGTGAGGTCGTATGAATTAGTACGAATTAGCCACCTCGTAAAATTCGTACGAATTGCCGTGTGATCGGGCTGAAATAACCCCCGTAGCAGATCTATACAGGTGGAGCTGGGGAAGGTGGAGGGTTTCTGAAGAGCGCTGTAGACTGACTGCTAACTGCAAACCATGCCAAGTATTTGAATGTTGAGCAGCAAGCTCATTGGTTGCTGATGCCACGGCAACCAATCAGCTGCGTTATGTAGATAACGATGTGATTGCTAACAAATAGGGACCAATCAGCCTGCGCCATCTAGAGTTTCATAACAGAACTTTGTATAGGCCTATGTCAATTGTTAGTTACCTCACTATTGCTACTAGCAGTTGAGGTCAGCATTAAATCAAAATGGACAATTCTTATTTTTTATGGAATATTGCAGTATTTATTATAAATGACTTATCCATGCACATCATTATTTATTTATTTATTTATTTAAATTCATGTGTCCTCGTAATCTTTAATCAAAAATGACTTCCCCTCTCACTTGCAGTGACTTCTCTTTTCTGATGCGTGTTTACTGGTGAGAGGGCGGGATCAACCTGTCACTCAAATTACATCACAGCAACAGCAAATCACAATGATCCAATCAATTCCCAATGGACAAAATCAAGTCCCGCCCTACATTTTGTCTTGTTGGAGAAGCCGTTTAACTTGGAAAGATGTCCCTATAGGGAAGAAAAGACTAGTGACTTCCATTTCATGCCGACTTTAAACTGATCACACTTATCCTTTATTAAATATGAGATTGTCTACTATGTGTGGATTAATGTAGCTCATTATTTTGATCTCTCAATTTTTTTTTCTCCACAAAAGACATTCATGTATAAAAACCTGCACAAAATGTTCTTTAGAAATCCCAGTCAGCGGAAGTCTAAAGGGACTACAATGTTTTTACTATATCAATGTTATTTGCGATATCAGCCTTGGGTCAAAATAAATAAATGTTTCTACAAATGGTACTGAAAATGTACACTTAATTAATAAGCTTCACAAAGCAGGCGAGCATTGCTGCCTCTTGTTTTCACATTTCTTCCTTCCCTTCTGCTGGTGGAGGGTCCATCTGTAATGAACGCCACCCGTCTCCAGCATTCCAGACACCCCAGAATGCTATGTGGCACCTCTGAACACTCCTTACTATTTTCAGCAACCAACTTGTTAGCACATTGTCAATGTCCAGACAGACGAGCATAAAACATCCCAGAATAAGCACAAGGACACACGTATTGGCATTTGGTTTTAGGTTAACGTAAAGAGCTGTCTGCAGCACTAATGTTAATGGATGAATAGCTTGCTGAAACACATATCTGGCTGTTTAGCTAAAACTTAGCTTTTGACTGAAATATATCAGTAGGGGATTTACTAGAACTTAAAGAAAAATTAAGGTCACACATTTTTTATAAGATGTTTTTAACTACTATGTACTTACATACAAAAAAAGTACAATGTATTTATTGTGTTCATGTTGTATTGCAAGACACTTTTGCTGCTATTGAGGTGGGATACGGGTAAGATCAGGGACAGGTTTTGTGGCATGGGTAAATTTAAGAATGGGTTAAAAGGTAAGGGAAGGGTCAACTGTAGTTATAGATGTAATTACAAAAATGAATTACTGATGTAATTACATGCAGGTAATTATAATATTATAAGTACAATGTAAAAACATGCATGTACGCAATAAGTGCATTGCACTACACTGTAAAAAATGATTTTATGGCAAAGTAAATAAAACAGGAAAAATCATTTATCTTTGCTAAGAATAATTTTGTAAAAATGAAACCTTTAGAATATTAAGTAAATCCTAATTATATACTCAATTTTTACTTGTAAATATTATACATCCAACAGACAAGTAAATTTGACTTCTGACTCTCTGACATATTTACACGCATTAATTAAGTACTTGAAGCAAATTTTTTAAAAAATCAAGTAAAATTTACGTCATTGAAGAAAGGAATCTGCGCATGCGCGGAAAGAAGAAAACCGTTATTGAGGAATTTGGATTTCCAATCTCCACTCCATCTGCTCTCAGGTAAGCAACAGTTAAAAACTGCAGTATATTACGGATTTTTAGATGTAATTTATTCAGTAAATGTAACTACGATCAACCAATGTGTTTTCATCACTTAATTCTATACATTTGAAAAGTTTAATATTCTTAATGACAAGTTAGCTTTCGACGCGTTAGCAACAGGCCTATTTTTTCCTCAGTTTTAAACTTTACGTTTTACACAAGTAAATTACGCCTAAAAACCATGAATATGTTACTTAAATCATGATCTTTTCGTTTAATTTGTTATTTTGTGTGCAATTTTCTTTATAGATGACAAATATCGTGGCTACGAATTAACAATAGGCCTAACCGAACGCGAATTTAATTATTTGCGCGAGTAGATTACATACAAAGTCAATGCAAAGACGCATATAGACGCATCATTCGCGCCGGGCATCGCGAATTGGGCGACGCGTTTGCCGCGAACGTCTTCCGCGCAAGTTGAAAAATTTGAACTCGAGCGGAATGTTCAGCCGTCTAACTAGACGCGTTAAAGACACCATAAAAGTGAGCAGGTTTTCGTTCCCTCATCATGCACAATATAATTCATTCCTTCATTCATTGACTAAATCGTGCGTACTATCTATTAAATGATCCCTGCTTTTACTAAATGGTGACCACGTTGTAAATAACAATAATTAGTTGCCTTATTTAAATCAAGACGAGTGAAAAATTAGAAACTTAGGCATAAGTTACTCTCAAATTCCTAATTCGTAGCCATGATAAATAAATGTATCTGCATGCTGTGTGCATTAATGTGAAGAAATGGCTAGGAGAGTGAGGTCATGCAGGATGTTTTTAATGTTTTTGATATGATTTGGCATGAGTGAAATGAATAATGTGAATGCAAATTGATTAACTTTTAATTTAAAAGTATTTGCTGTTTACTGATTATTGTTTATTTTTTCTCTTTTCTTAATTTCAGGATATTTCTCAAATGTATTCAGTCCTTTGTGCCTTCGTTGCTGTAAACCGGTTGAGAGGGACAAAGAGAGAGACCGAACAAGCTGAATTGTGTGTCCAAAGTGATCTTTTAGATGCTTATTTCTTAATAAATTACTCTAAACTGCACATTGTCACTGTATTATTTTGTCACATTATAAGAGTAACATTTAATTTAAAATAATTACCAGCACTGCATAAAACAAGTAAAATGTATTTAAAATATCAAATGGTTTTACTTAATTATATTAATTACATCAGATTTGTAAGTAAAAATTACTCAATATAATTTAACAGGTCAAGTTATATGTACTTTTTCACTTTGTTAATTTTACTCGGCTTACTTAAGTAGATTTACTTAATTTCCATAAATGTGAAATTTACTTGAAAAATATCAGTGCAAAAACTTGCCTTATTAAAATTGAGTAAATTCTACTTATTGTTTTTCTCAGTGACTACATGATTAATTTAAACGTTAATACTAGTAGTTAAAGACACCCGTGGGACCGAAATTAAACCGATAACAAAATAGTACTCTCGCAGTACCATAGTACAATGATGGTATCAGATAGTTATGCTGCTATGGTATTTGGATATATATCATTGTATGGGGATGTTGCCCTCGTGATGATAGCCATTTGCTCCAACAGTCTTTATTTAGAAAGTGTCTGTTTCAGAAGGGGCCTGGATAGAGGAAAGGGGCGAATGAAGAGAGCGCTTACATGGCGAGCCGATGGAGGAGGGGGTTTGGTGGGCCAAGGCGGGTCGGTGGGGGTTGAGTTTCTGACCAGTGACAGGATAAAGGAAACAGAGCAGCTCCAGAGGTCGGCTTGAGAAAACACAGCCTCTGTCAGTCACACAGACTCCTGGGCCGGGATTAGGCCTCAGCCTGGGGGGGGATCAGGTTTCTCTGTCCGGGATACCTCACTGCTGCAAACCACTACCAGATGTGGAGCAGCCAGCATGAGAGCGGGAGGGGGCGGCGTGTGCTTTATATGCATAGTTGTGTGTTTCATTGTACTGTACTATTTTTACTCATATTTTGCTTGTTAGGGCCCATATGAGATGAGTTTGAGGATGGGATTAATTTCTTTAAAAAAAAGTTGGTTATGTAAAAATGCAAATTTGCTGAAAGGATCTTAAGTGAATCCATACCAAGACATCTACAGCTACAGATAAACTCATATATAAAAGAGTAGCCAAATAATAGAATTTTACAATGAATGTTATTATATTATACTATATTATATTATATTATACCTGATTATTAATACTGCATCATATTTTTATATGAATATTATTAACAATTATTATTAAAATAATAATATTAATATATACACTACCATTCAAAAGTTTGCGGTCAGATTTTTGCTAAAATACTTTTATTCAACAACAGTGAAGATATTTATAATGATTTATATTTAAAATAAATGCTGTTTCGTCAAATAATTAATCTTTTTTTTTCTATTTATCAAGGAATCATGAAAAAAATGTATCATTGTTTCCACAAAAGTTTTAAGCAGCACATCTATTTTATTCTTTGATTATAAGAAATGTTTCTGAGCAGCAAATCAGCATATCAGAATGATTTCTGAAGGATCATGTGACACTTATGTAATGATGCTGAAAATTCAGCTTTACATCACAGGAATAAGTTGCGTTTTAAAATATAATTAAAACAGAAAACAGCTATTCTAAAGTGTATAAGGTTTTCTCTTTTTTTTTTTTTTTTTTTTTTTTTTTTTTACAAATAAATGCAGCATTGGTGAGCATAAGATACTTCTTTCCAAAACATTTTAAAAAATCTTACCAAACTCAAACATGTGAATAGTGTAATTGAATATCGTTTCATATTAACCATATTCGATAATAAATCTGCACAGAGTACATTTTTCCTGTGCTTTGGATAGGAAACTCTAACCTTCATCTGTGGTGTGGTCCTGTATAATGATAGTCCAAGGCTGTTTCAAATCTCCCTCAGAAGTCACAACCTTAAGAACTGGAAACAAAGAGGTACATTCTTCATGTTAACATCATCTCTGTCTGTAACGGACCTCCTCTGCTCTCTATTTTTGTTTTGTCTGCTGTGTTTCCCCTTCAGAGTACCTTTATTTGACCTGATCTCTTACCCAGCACCTACTCTGTCCTTGTAATATACTAACACAGACTCCCCTGACAACAAGTTACATTTACAACATAATAACTAATAACACACGTCGTTGAAAATTTCATCTTGTGAACATTTTAATGCGTTTCTTTTCCCTTTTCTTTAAGAGCCCAATGCGAGCAAAAGCCAGTATAGACATTACTGTGTTCTGTGTTTATTTGGTTGAGCACAATATAAAACCAAGTAAAGCCTCGATTACCGTGACCTTGTGTGACATCACCCTTTATTGGGTGGTCCTCGGTGTCAACTGCGGGATCCCAGAGAGACAAGCGTATGATTTCACCATCAGGACCCATTATTAAGGTGCCCAATGCTTTGCCTCCCTCCCATTCTGAAAACACACAGATTCAAACAGACAGACTTGACAAACCTAAAGAAAAAAGTTGAGGTTGCTCGAGGGGCTCCAAGATGAATTCGGACACTTGGGCCACATGTACAAATGTATACAGTACATGTCATTGCATTAGACATATCAAACAATGTGTCACAGAAATATGTTGTCAAATGGTATTTTCATATTTAATATCAGCATTATCTCACTATTCGGCATTTAACGTAATGTTTACACGTACATTTTTGTATGTTTGAGTATTTGCTGAAATGCACACTATTGACGAATCAAAAGCATCTAAATAAAAAAGTTTTTAGCATGCACATCTTTAGAAGCAAACATCTTTCTAAAGCAATCCTTTATATTTATATTATAAATATATTTTGTAAATTAACATTTTACCATTATATTGATATAGACTCGTACAGTAATTTGAGCAAGTACACTAATTGTTTAAACTCAAAGAAAATCTATGTACTGATTAAATTTAACTATACTAATATTAATATTATATTTATTTATAAAATATTATATATTGTAATAGTATGTAAACATTTATTTATTAATTTATTGTATGTATTATATATATGTATATATTGAGTTTATACGATAATTATATACACTCAAAATGTCTATGCAATGGTAAAATGAAACTATAAAAATATATCTTTAATGCAACTGCATTTAGTTATTAAATATTATACATTTAATATAGGCTATATATATATTTTTTCCCATTGTATAGACTCAAAGAAAGACTATATTATACTATAAAACTATATTATGGTCAAATCTAACTATACAAATATATCTATAATATATATTTATTTATTAAATATTTTACAATATAATAAATATGATATTGTTTTTGTTTTTTACTTTATGAAGGATTAACCCTTGACCTGCTTGTCACCAGGCCGGGTATACCCTAGACTCTAGACAGAGTGCCCAGCTAAAAATTGGCCTGCTTTTCTTGTAACTTGTTTTGAACCGTCTTTAACAGTCTTTATGAAGCATCCGGCTACCTCTGAGCTCCGGAGGAAGACAGCCTCTAGTGTTTCCTGTCTGTGCTTCTGTTGTGTCTGCAGGGTCATGTAGGTTCTGTCTGTACACAGCCATGGAGCTCTGTTTACCAGGACCCCTCCGGCCCACCAGGGGTGGCAATGGACCAAGGGGGGGATGTTGATCTGAGGGAATTAAAGGAAAAGAATTCACTTCAGACTGAACCAGAAATGCTCAGAAATTCTCATAGAGGCTTGTTTTGCATGGGTCTCAGAGCGCTAGTGGACAACTGAACCTTAGCCTCTGTGTTGTTATTTACCGTATCAGCCCCTGAGATCTCCCACCAACCCCTGTCCTCACTCCCCACTGCTCTGCCTGTCTAAAGACTTCGTTTAGCTGCAGCCAAGCACTAGCCGAGCCACACATGAAGAGGTGCTCGGCCCTCAGTGGGGGTCTTTGCTCTACCAGCACGACATCACTGTATGAGCCACTGCAAGCTTGGAGCGTACAGCTTATTTAAGCTCTGGATGAGGATAGTATGTGTGAACTAATGAGAAGAGGAAAGGCGGTCAGCAGCATGAAAAATTAGATGGTTAAAAATGAGAAAGAGATTAAGGTTTAACTCGTGAATATGCATTAGGTTTTTGAATACATCTTTTCTTCGCTATTGTGATGTTTATCAGAGTGAAACGGCTTTTCGAACAAGAAACAATTTAAGGCGGGACTTGATTTTGTCCATTGGGAATTGATTGGATGGCTGTGGTTTGCTAGTGCTGTGATGTCATGTGAGTGACAGGTTGTTCCGCCCTCGCGCCAGTAAACACGCATCATCAGAGAAGAGAAGAGATGTTACTGCAAGAGGGAGGGGTAGTTGTTTTGATTAAAGATTTCGAGTGAACATGCATTTAAAAAAGAAATAAATAAAGTGTATGGCCTAACCCTAACCCTAAGTCATTTATAATAAATACTGAAATATTCCATTAAAAAAATAATGATTTCATGGTGACTAACATTTTATGTGCTATATAAATTAACATTAGTAATGCATGAGTGAGACAGGCCAGTACACCTCAATACTGAATTTAATTTTTAAATGTAACAATTACCTCGAAAGTACATTCAAACCATATTCATAACTGTTATTATAAAATGCAAGCAGGATCACATGATTCCAGACTCACAGTCTTGGCAGTGTTCTTATATTTTTTCATCACTTGACCTGTTTTCAATACCGCAGTGCTGTTGACTTTCAGGATGAGTCATTTTGAGTTCTGCGCCCAGGTGTTCTTACAATATGTATTTCAGTAATATTATCTTTTGAAAATGTTTGACAAGTTTTTGAGTTTGAATTGAATTGCAGCACCACTTTTTGAATTTGTCAGGTAATGCTTCAGTTGTACAGCACTGGGCAGGTTGACACTTTAAAAGATCATATCACAAAAAACAATCTTGCTATAATGGATTGTTTTTGTTGTATTTCTTTCACCATATATGTTGTGAATCATATCAGCAGCCACACTGTGTAAAATCTAAAAAAAAGAAATAAATATATCACTACCTCCCTTTTCTAGATCGTCAGACCACATGATGTGCCCGAGGTCCATCTCTGTAATCCTGCACTTGCTGTCAGAGAGAGGGTCCTGTCCTCTTTGGCCGAGCCCCTCAGCATGCAGATCACCATATGGCTTACGCTCCTGAACAGGGGTCCTATGAAGGTCATCTAAGGCGCAATAAAGAAAGAATGGTAAAATGTGGTATAATAAACTAATCAATTCTGCAAATGTCCTTGTTGGTAAAAGTGTACAATGTGATGTTGCATACCATCCGGCTGATGGGTGTCTGTATGTTCTGTTTGTGCAGGGAAAAGCAGCAGCACGTTCCTGTGGACGCGGCTCTCTGAGGCCTTTTCATGTGTAGTTCCCACTTTGATGCCAGGGAGATGTATGTGTAGTTCTCGTTGGGGTAAATTCTCACAGCTCCTTTTTTTATCTGTTATTTCCGGTTTATTCTTCAAGACAATTCCAAAAGAATTACATCATTTGTATGCACTTACGTCATTTTCAGAAGATATGGTGAATTTATAAAAGACAATGGTATTGTTTTTGGATGTTTCAGAACCGTTTGGGGTCAGAAGGTTTTTTTAATGCATTTATTTAGCAATTAAATCCAAATTAAATAAAAAATGTATACAAAAACAATTATATTACTATATCACCATACCCACAAAAATAATAAGCAGCAGAACATTAATAATAATACAAAACGAGCAAAAAATCAGCATATTAGAATGAATTTGAAGGATCATGTGATACTGAACACTGGAGTAATGATGCTGAAAATTCAGCATTTTAAAACCTATTCAAAAAGAAAACATTTATTTTAATTTGTAATAATACTTCACAATATTAGCATTAAAAAATGTAGTGAATTACAAATGCGGAAAATGATAAGCAATTTATAATATCCATATCCTCTTGTGGAAGAGTAATTCAGAGTAGAACAGAAGCTAGAGCAGATGTTAAAATGCAGAAAAGTACAGAAAAGAGAGAACAAGGAGACCATTTTTTTAGGTTTATTTATAGTAAAGAGTCATTTTGAGGTTTGCGCTTGAATAAGAGCCTCAGGTGTTCTTACAATACATATTTCAGTAATATTAGGTGTTTTCTCTTTTGAAAATGTTTGACGAGTTTTGTCAAGAAGTTAACAAAAAGTTAACATCACAGAAGTTAACATGCAGAAAAATAGAGAACAATAGGGAGATTTAAAAAGATTTTTTTTTTAGGTTTGATATTTTGTTTATAAGAAGTGCATTGGTTTAGGGTAATGGTTGAGATAAATGTATCTTCAGCCATTTCTTGCAATGTAATTACCAAATACCGAATTCTTACCATTGTTGAAGTAATGTCAGAGTCTGAGTTGACCAGCGGGCTCTGGTTAATGGGTGGTAAGTGGAAGACGGTGAAGCTGGGATCTGTTTCTATATTCACTCTCCTCTCGTGAGTTTCACCCCCACAATGTCTAACTAAAGCAAACAGAACATTTTGCAGAACATACTTATCAAAATGATGACTTCAGGCTTGTATCTGGATGTCATATGTGTATTTTATGGACTTTAAATGGTCCGCTAAATACTGATGTAGTTCTTGTCTTACTCTGGCGGGATCCCTCCATGTGTCCACCGTAGTAGTTGACCCGTGAGAGTGGGCTGTATTCCAAAGACGAATCCACATACACTGACCTTAGAGGGCCCGTCTCTGCAACACCATTTCCACTCTCCATCCGAGTGCGCTTCCCACGGCCGTTTAGATCCTTCAGATGGTCGATAAGATGTGGGAGTATCTGGTATATGTCAAAGCAAAATAATGAAAAGCTCTTTAGCTAAGTTTTGAAGTTATGGTCATGTAGTTTGGAAAAACACATGGACTAAAAAGTGGAAATCATTTAGACATTTGATCAAATTCACATGTACAGTACTTCACCTTAGCATTTCTGGTCTCCGTTTTTCATTGTAAAGGTTCAAAAGCCAAATACTTCACATAAACAACAGTATATTACATCAGTGACAGAGATTAACCAAGAAAATGAAATCAGACGATGTTAAAGATCAGATGTTTATTAATGAGTAGACCTTTCCAAGTGTCTGGTTAGAGGGAATTTCAGGTCACTGTTGGGAAACAGACGAAAAGAGCCAGAGCAACATGTACTAAAGAAGATTAATCTGGTTATTGGACTCACTGTTTTATCTTCAGTCTGATGTGCAGGTTCTGTCTCAGGGATCGGACTCATCTGAGCTCTCCATGTGTCGACCGCTATCCTGAGACTCCTATCCTGTCCTTTTCTTTCTTTCGGCTTCTCTCTCAGTTCATCTTTCTGTACTTTAGTCTTAAAGGTCATTTGTTCATCTGGAATCAAGATTGATTTTGACATTAGGTTAAAGCGAAACCGTTATTCTCTGTATCCAATTAAAGGGATACTTCACCTCTGGAAAGATGAATGTGTATTTAAAATGGGTCATTTATGTAGAAGAAATGTGAAATTATTTTTGAATTTGGAGCTTTCTAGACCGAGAAAAGACAGAAAATGTATTTTTGGCTTATGTGGATGAAAGACAACAACTCCCAGAATGCACTTGCTTTGCTGCCCTAGGAGGCCATGCCTACCGGTAACAGAGCGCAGTAGTTAAACAACAAGTCTAGGCTACTAGTGAGTCTCCGTGATGAGTCTGCCCGAAAATGTGTTTCGAGATCGCCCAAAATGTCCGGGATTCGGCTTTTGCGTTCTACAGTCGCCATTCATCATGTTTACTGTGGCGAGCAGGACCAGGCTAGGGCCGCGGGAGAACGGCGCGAGGCCGGTGGCGTGATTACCGATGAGCGGCCGACACCTGTGAGACGCACCGGTCTCGTATCTCTCACGGAGGAGCGGGAATTTTATTAGCAATGTTAAAACGCACATCAAACGATCACTTGTTTAGCGTTCATGTAAACACTACATTCAGATTCACCAATCGGAATGAATTCAGTTAGATTGAAACAAAAGGTGTGCATGTAAACAATGAATGGCGACTGCAGAAAGCAAAAGCTGAATCCCGGACATCGACGGCCGGACATGTCCGGGAAAAAGAGGATGGTAACCCCTACTACTCAGCTTTCTCCACAGAACAAGAGCCTGCTAGCTTAGCTTCCAAAAAAAGATGGCTGACACTATGTGTACATTCTGTGAGTGAGATCCCACCCTCTATGGGCGGGTTGAAAACATGCGGGACAGCCCCTACTACTGACTGTAGTCTTTAGCCTCTGGCCAAAAAAATCCTCCGATGACGCAAAATGACGATTTTTGCGTCATCGGAGGATTTTTTTCCAGACAAAAAATACATAAATCTCTCGTCTCAGGGGGATATGAGGGTGGAAAGCATGGTTATTCGAAAATACTACAGGTTTTCTACTAATACAAAGCTTAATGCTAAATCCTGAAGTATCCCTTTAAGTTTCACAGCGAGCAGAAGCTAATCAAAATGGTTTACATTTTAGGAATCACTTTTTACTTCCTTTTGGCAATGGGAACGTAAAATCCAAACTAAAAGCTTTTAAGTCCCAAAATGAATGGAGCACATTCAGAGGCAGGTATCTGATATGTGTTAAAGATCCCAAAGATGTAAACATTCACTTTCTGAATTGACTTTAACTAAACACTGGCAACAAATATTTTTTTGTTTGTTCACTGGCATTGCTGTCCTGTACAGGATGTTATTGATCTAATCAAGAACTGTTTTTGAATAGTCAACGTTTATCTGATCGTTATTGTCAGTGTTAGATTTCATGAACTATACCTGGTGCAGCATGAGTTTCCTCATGGATTTGTACATGTACCAAACCCTCCGTTATGGGGGGCAGAGGGCCAAGGGTGGCCCTTTTGGGTCGAGGGGAACAGAGGAAATGTGGCTGGTATCTGACCTGTGCAGCTTTTTCTCCTGAAACACAATGAGATTTATAATTTTATGATAGATATGGGATGTAACTACCATCCAAATGGTTGGTAAGATACTGTGTAATGTTCTTTAAAGAAGTCTCTTATGCTCAACAAGACTGCATTTACTTGATCAAAAATAGAATAAAAACAGTATTGTGAAATATTATTGAAATTTAAAATAACGGTTTTGTATTTTAATGTTTTTTTAATGTTTAAAAATGTAAAGGTACTCTATGTAACTGTTGACCCTCTTGCAGCAGTAAAAAAAAACTGCATGCATTTGCGGAAGAACATTGGATAACACTTTACAATAAGGTTCATTAGTTAACATTAGTTAACTACATTAGTTAACATGAACTATTAATGAACCACTTCTACAGCATTTATTTGTTAATGTTAATTTTACATTTACTAATACATTACTAAAATCAAAAGTGGTATTAGTTACCATTAGTTAATGCACTGTGAACTAACATGAACAAACAATGAACAGCTGTATTTCTAACGTTAAAAAAATAAAATAAATACAGTAACAAATGTATTGATCATGTTTCATGTTAATTAATAGCCTACATTAACTAATGTTAACTAATAAACCTTATTGTAAAGTGTTACCGAACATTGTTTTGGTTGTGCTTCGGCGAGTGACTGTGCTGATGAATATGGTTATTATACATACTGCTCATAAAACTTTCACAATAGGTTTAAGAGGTATAACCAGTTTAGATGGAAAGGATATCAAGCTGACTAGCTGAAGACGTTACTGTAGCTTTACCTATAGACACGGTACTTCCTTGAAATTCAATTCCAGCACAGCGCTATAACAACCATAATGACCCTTCACAATAAATAATGCTTTACAATGAACTCTGTTAGAGTGCTACATGTGGCCATTTATCTGTTCAATAAAATCACCCGTTGAGTAATAAAAACACCATTAATTGTGACTGTCATAATCATGACTGTCGCTTTTACAACATTTCAAATCTCAATCTCAAGTCAAGTCAAGCCAGTGTTGATTCTCATTTTATAACAAGCCTTTTCGCGTTCTCTTTTTGCCAGCAGACTCTCCTCTGTTCAGCGTGGTGATTCCTCAAAGGTTGGAGATTTAGCATGCTTCATGTGAACCTTTCTCGCTAGTTGTGACAATGTCAATCCCACACCAACATACACGTCAAAGTAGCCTTTTTGACGAGACACGCAGGGGTGAGTGAGTATTATAAACACTTAGCATAGTGAATCAGGGTAAGACAAAAATACTTTTTGTAAGTGATGTATTTACTCATTATTTCAATTTTGTTAATTTTGAACAAAAAAAGTTACATAGTGTAGCGTAGCCTACATTTAATGAAAGCTGAATGTTCAGCATCATTACTCTAGTCTTCAGTCACATGATCCTTCAGAAAACATAATAATATATGCTGATCTGCTGCTCAAGAAACATGTCTAATTAACATTTTTGTGGAAATAATGATAACAAAATGTCTTTAGCATTGATGAATAGAAAACAAATCATTTATTTTATTAAAACAACATGAGTAGATTATATAAATGTCTTTACTGTCACAATTTAATGTGTCATTGCTTAATACAAGTACAAATCTATTTCTTTTCTTTTTAATTTTTTTAATCTTACCCCAAATTTTGAACAGTAGTGTACATGCAAACAAACAAACAAATTATGTTGTCAAATGACTTGCTTTCTTCCATTTAACAAAAAAAGTGATTATTAAAAAAAAGTATTATTATTTTAATTGGGCCACTGTTTTTTATATAATGAAAGTGAATAAGGACTGGATGTGTCATGTTCCAAAATTAAAACAAAGAATCAAAGAAATTTTTGATTATGTCAAGATTTAAATGTAAAATATTCTGTTTCTCACAAAAAGCTATTGCGTTGTTTCAATAGAATTGGAATATAGCACATGAGTCATATGGACAGTTTTTATGATATATTAATTGTGTTTTTTTTAATTAATGAATTATTATAAATTACGTTAAATGTAACATGAACAATAATGTAAAAGCATTTTTACCCTTTATTCTATAAACCTGTCTGTGAATAAATAAATACAAATTCTTAGCCTATTAAATATTTTAAAAGGTTGACCATAGTGTTTAAGTGTTTAAAGATCCTCACCTTTAACCTGGTTTAGATTATAGTTCTCTTCTCTTCTTCTCTGGATGTTCTGTGTAGCATGTTTAGTATCTGGCAATAAGCGGTGCGTTACACCAGCAAAAGATCCAACTTTTGCCTAAAAGAAACAAAGAATCATATAAAAAGAACATGTTTGATTTTCACATCTTCCTGATTTCTTAGGCCTCTACAAAAACATGGAACTGTTCCACATTATCTCTAACTATCTCTTTTGAAACCACTCAAACATGATGTTCACCTTCTTTCAAGGTTCACTTATTTTCAAGGTTCCTCCTATTTGTATTAAACGTCAGTGGAAAATGAAAATGTGAAGCTGGAAGTCACACTGGAATTCTTTTGGAAGCAAATGCAATTTTTTCAAAAGAATATAAAAGAACTGAGATGTTTTGATCTCCTCGGTTGAACATTTAACAATAATAAAGAGATACCAGGTGCTAGACATCAATGCTTTGAAATCAGTTCCCATGAAATCAAAATGGAATATTGCCTTTTTTATTATAAATTATTTTTCCATGCACATCTTTGTTTATTATTCATGTGCGCTCGCCGCTCGTAAACAAAATATCTTCCCCTCCCTCTTGTAGGGATATCTCTTCTTTTCTCTGATGCGTGTTTACTGGCGTTACATTTTTTTTTCTTTTTCCCATATAGGGAAGAAAAGACTTCTGTTTCATGCCATCTTTAATTTAGTTTTTAAAATTGTTTTCTATTTGTCTTTTCAGTTTAGTTTCCCCACCCCCCATTTAGATTTGTTAAAAATAACTGGTGTTATGTTTATAATTATGTAAATTATCTGTTTGAATTCGGCTTTGCTGAAGATGACTATGGCGGCCATTTTTGAGTCTCTGGAGCACACCTGTGTTGTTTTCATTCTGCTGCAGTTGAACGTGACAGATCGAGACTTCACACAGGCCACCCACACCGAAGACCCTTCTTCCTGGATCCCCTCCAAATCCCTGTCCAAACCCTCATGTCTATGAGGTAAACACACTGATTACTGTATTCAGCTCTCATCACCTGGATCATTCCCCTTTTGCCCCGAGAGAGTGCCATTTCGGTCACATACTGCAGCAATTTGTCGGTGTCATTGAAGTTCCTCTTTTCCTGCTGATCACAGTTTCTCTTCAGACGGTTCATGCGGGTTTATGTTTGGATGATAGAAGATGGACATTGTGAAACGGAAGCCACCATGGAGTTTACGTTTCTCATTCAAGATGCACACCTGATTTGGTGATTCTTTTGATATCCTTCCGCATCGACAGATGATTTTCGGGGGTCGCAGAGAGAGGACGGATTAATGGGCATATAATGAGGGAACAGTCAAGGGCTGTGGACCATTAGCAGATTGTGGTGGACGGGAATTGGATGGATTGTGGACTGTGTGCTTTTGTAAAATCCCTCAGGACACCTTTATTAAGATTTGCAGCTCACATCTCACAGAGGTCAAATGGCGCATTATGGGTAAATCACCAGTTTGATTGACCTGGAATGTGTGGAAATTGAAGACACCTTGAGGACTGACCGTGTGTGTGTGACTGTGTGTGTCGCATACTGACGGCAGTGTTATCTCCCCTGTCCAGGTGCAGTTTTAAGCGCTCAGTGAAAGATTATGAAGTGAAATGTAAAATGAACATACCACATTTCACCTAGTTGACTTCAGGATGGTGTTACCTCTCTGGCCAGAGTAGCGGTTCGCCAATGAGGGCCGGTAAACTAATACTACCACAGAGTCTGTCACCCTGACCTGAACCTGAGTTTCAACTTTTCTGGGCAGTAAAATTTTGGAAGATTTACTGTGTACTGGCCCGTCCTTCAAGTTTATGTCCCACCTTTCTTGCTCTCTGGCAATCAGGAGGCAACTTCAGGCAGAGCTGCACAATAGTCCATTTGTAGTAGATCTGGGCCTCTTAACTGAAGAAATCTGACAGATAACGAACTGTTTCATGCAGTACTTGGTCATGTACGTGTGTGTAACCTGGTCCATTAATCAGACGACTGTTCGGTTCAGCTGCCTTTTCAGTATCTAATGTTTTTTAAACTTCACCATTAAATCTTTATATCCGGAACAGTGATGTTTCCAGAAATACATGACCTCTGCAAACAGCATTAACATTATTGTGTGTAACACCCACTAAATACAATTAAATTGATTGAAATGGATTTTATTTTTTATAGTTACCCTTGTGAAAAAGAAGTTTGCTTAATTGCATTGAATGTGCATACTTTTACAAGTATATTTTTTTATATATATATATTTTACACTTGGGGGAGACGGTACACTTTAAAAAAACTACAAGTCAAATTTACTCCAACTGTCATGACAAGTTTTGGATTTTGAACTCAAATCTATACGTTTTCAAAAATGAAAAAAAGAATCCATTGTTTCGACTATTTGTGAGTTGAAACAAAGGATATCTTCATGTTTAGTTGAGTTTACTCATGTTTTTAAGGCATTTTAAGGCAAATGTTTTACAGTGAAGGGGAATAGTGTTATTCTTTCTTCTATTTCACAAATTTACCTTCTTTTTTCCAAAGGCCAAAATTGCTCCAGTCAGGTCTTGCAGTGTGTGCAGCTGCTTCTCAACTTCCTGTTTCAGACAGCTAGGAGCCTTTCTCTTCCTGGTAACCTGGCCAGAGCGGTATGCCAGTGCGAGATCTTCTGAATACAGAATAAGAGGGCCTCTCCTTGTACTGTAGGTCTTAGGTGGCGCCGGCTCTAGGCCTCCAAAAAAACGGCCACTGCTCGTAAGACGCAGCATGGAAGGCTGAGATTTCCAGTTGAAGTAGTCCTAGTTAGGAAAAGATCATGTTTCTATTGACTGTTCGACTGCGTACTCATTGAAACTGCACATATGTAAGAAACATTTACCTCTGGTTCAAAACAGACCTCCAGTCTTCCATCATTACCATCTTCATCGGGCACAATTTGGCCGTACCCGCGACTCAGCAATGACAGGACAAAATCTTTCATTGTGACGCTGATAATGTTCTTTGAATAAATGCTGAAAAAGTACATGTACAAGTTTTTAAAATCACAAAGGCCTTTTTAATTTGTAATCTTGTTATTAAATATAGCAATTGTATCACTGTTAAAAAAAAAGTTGCTGCCTTCAATTTTTAAGTACAGTCAACTTGGACGTTTAAGTCATTTCAACTTAAATTACATTAGACTTAAAATAATGAGTTAAATATAACTTATATAAAAAAGTTGAAAATAAAGCAATGTAAAAACATAGGTTGTCATATAACTTATTGATATAATTAGGTTTCATAGAAAGTCAAAAGTCAGCGATTTTCACAGTTGTTCAACACTGTTTTTTGTTTCTCGTACCTCAGTTTGTGGCCCAGCAGCACCCCTCTCTTCAGCGACCATTTCTCTTTACCTCAGAATGCATTTGCGTGTTTGTTCAGCATCTCCGCAGCTGCTTTTACATACTAAGAATCATTTCGCCCCATGTTACGAATGTCTGTGTTTGCTGAGCTTTGGTGTTGCTAGGCTCTCCACAGCTCCTCGGCAGAGCACTGTTTTCTTGTTTCCTTGGTTGCAACCAAGCACTTCTTACCCCCTCCTGGTCAGCCCAGCAACTCTGACTACCTTTGCTAAACCCATCCTAAAATACAAACAAAAGGAAGATAACCGCTCACAGCTTTTTGTAAGTAACTTGACAGGCACGTCCTGTCATATGCCCAGTACAGCCCATCCCTAGTGTTATTGACTGTGCCATGAGATAGACCTTTCCTTCCTTCACATAAAACCCCTTCATCAATCAAACAGACAGGGGGAATTGTTAAAGCGTACAACTAAAAGACCTGCAGGATGTCCTTAAGAGCTACTGCAGGGTTAGTTAACTGAAACTAAAATTAAAATCATAGCACTTTATTTTACAGTCATGTTCCGCATACATATTATGTACTTAATACAATAACTGGGTTATAACTAAACTGTAAACGTTTATTTTCATGATTTGTTATCGCAACTTTTTATTTTAGTCAAATCAGCTTAGATGATTAATGTGATTCAGATTTTGAGTTTCTGTTGATTAAGTCAATCTACATTGTTGTATTAACTCAAATTTATCATTTCAATGGACTCAAAATTTTAAGGCAACCAGGTAACTTACTTTTTTTAAGTTAAACCAACAATATATTTTTTTTACAGTGACTAACCCTGAACCTATCCCTTAACCTAACCTTAACCTGTAGTTACCCTATTACCAGTCCTTTCTTGGGTAAATACTGTATGTACAAATACTGTAAAATAAAGTGTAACCAAACCATAAAAAAACATTTTGTTGCTTGAAATAAAATAAATGTTAACTGAAATCAAATCAAATATTAAAATATATATATATATATATATATATATATATATATTTTAGCCAGTTGCCAAGACTAACATTTCTCATTTTCATTTAGTTTAACTTGATGTACTAAAATAGCTAAAACTGTAAATAAATATAGACATATTTTTTTTAAAAAACTAAAACTTATAAAAATGACAAAAACACAACACAATTACTAACATTTTGACAAATTAAAAAAAAAAAAAAAAAAAAAATATGAATAAAAAAATAAAATAGTATCTCATTGATACTAAAATAGCACTAGGATATACGTGACAGTTTGGCCACAAAAGCACAAGGCAAAATAAGATATATTGTATGACAGTACACTGTAAAAAAATGATATGATCAATACGTTTTGACAACATACAGAATTATGTTTTACATTGCTTTATGGTCAAAATAAGTTAAGCAATTTTGAACAAAGTTGAGCAAAATTATAATTAACTCATTTTTTTAAGTCATTTTAATGCAATTTCAGTTGAAATGATTTAAACAACCAAGTTTATTGTACATAAATATTTAAGGCAGCAACTTATTGTGTCGGCACTAATAAACACGTTTTGGGAACAGTGCATTGAGTAACACTTAAGGTCCCATTAGTTAACGTTAGTTAATGCATTAGCTAACATTAACTAACAATGAACAACATATTTATTACAGTAATTATTAATATTTGTTAATGTTACAAATACAAATGTTAGTTCATAGCTCAGGTCCATTAACTGATAACAGAAACAACTTTTGATATTAATTTGTATTCGTAAATGTTGTAATTAACTGAGATTAATAGTACTTTAAAAGTTTTTTTTTCATTGTTAGTTTAACAAATTGAACTAATGTTTGGAACCATTTTGTAAAGTATGTAAAGTATTTACTGCATGTGCATCTTTTGAGCAGCTCTTGTGCTTCAATATACTCAGATCTGCAAGAGGTTGGAGGTTTAAACTGAGCGTCACAGGAAAGACTTCTTCAGACTGCTGTGGATGCCTTTGAACCACAACACTAGCCTCTTCAACCACAAGGGCATGTGCTTTGTGTTACATGGTGAATCATTGTATTACTCTGTGAGATCATACTTTGTGACGATGAACAGAACCCTAGTTGAGCAGATGCAGGTTGATGAGGACAAAATGTTAGGATACTTAACATTAACCTGCCAACACCCTTTGAGCTGAGCTCTTGACCAACATTGAAATCACTGAAAAAAAAAAAGAATAATGATTATAGTAAAATAAGGAAAATCTTTTTTTTCTTCTGTCTTTAAAATTACAAAAGATCTTGGAGTTTTACTTAATGTGTATATCACAAATCAGTTGCTTTTGTGAGTGCCATACTGTAGTTAATATGGGCACTTCGCACATCCAAATAACAGGGGTATATTTGAGGGGCTCAACAGATTTAAACATATTTAAAGGTGCAGAACATCCTAGCTTAGGCATTCAAGAGAGTTTGCAACATAATTATTGTTACAGAATGTGATTCTTGAAATAAAATGTAACATTAATGTATTTTATTCACAATATAATATCCAATATAATATTTTGGTGATTCCTTTTCCTTTGCAGTGCACTCTTAAAAACAAAGGGTCTTTACTGGCATAAGCTTCCATGAAGAATCTTTAACATCCATGAAAACTTTCCATTGGACAAAAGGGTCTTCGTGGGAAAAAGATTGTTTAGATTTTTTAAATGTTCTTCTCACTAGGAAAAAAAGTTATTTTAAAACCCGTTCACTGAAACTTTCTTTTTAGGAACCAAAAATGGTTTGTCTATGGCATTACTGCGAAAACCCTCCTTTGGAACCTTTCTTTTTTTAAGAGTGATATTAACATTCTTATCAATATAAGTCTCTCTTTCAAGACTGTTATACAAAACAATGCATTTAAATATATTAAAGCTCTTCAATAGCACAAGAGATAAATTATGCAACAGTTGATGATAACATCAACTGTTGCTTAAGTATAAAGTATGTTTCGTTCTTGAAACTTGTCTTTGTAGTTCATTCATAAAACTTGCTGTAAAGTAAACTCAGCTTGTGATGAAGTGTTCACAACATATCAGTCACCTGTGGATGGCGCTAAAGCACCGCTCTTACACTTCATCTCAGTAATGCAGGAGTTTCTCTAAATACCAATACTTTAATTTGTTCAATAATGCACCGAATATCACCATGTAGGAAGGTCTCAATCTTTGAGGCTGACTTAATTTTGTAGTTAAATTAAAAATAATTTTGTCTCATGTGCTTTTCATTTTAAAAGTCAAGATATAATAGGCCTACCACGTTTGGTGCAACAGTCTTCAAAAAGGCTATACTCCGAGCACTTTCTGATATTGGCTTTTTTCTTACAATAAATGCTAAAGGTTAAACAGAGTAGCCCGTGAATGGTTTCCACATCTGCATGTCTTTGTTTTCATCATTTTAAAAATAAAAACCTTTGAGTAAAATGAGTCAGTTCGTTAAAAATCTAATCGTTTTATTCAGCGAAACTGTACAGATACAAAGGTCTCTTACCAAATTTTAAAAACCAAGTAAAAAACAACACGATTATTTTCATAAATACATATATTCTTTGAGAAAGGGTGATTATTTACACATTACATCGTTTAAAGGGAGCTTGCATAAATTCACAGCTGTACACATGCATATAAGAATCCCAATCCTAATGCGTACTTGACGGTCCATGAAGTATGCATGATTGTCGACGTAGGGCTGCGAAAGTCATACAAGTCCCCAGTTATGTGTATAAGGCAAATTACTTCCAACATTTCAGGTACAGAACCGTGAGCATTGCGCAAAGCATTCAGTAGGCTACTGTCTACAGAGATCACATCTGCAAATGATATCGTGTTACACAGAAATACACTCAAATGTCTTTTTCACATACATGAGAAACCCCAATGGTTAAACAGACTCAGGCTGATAACACTGTTCATGATGGTCCGCTTCCACTGTGGAAACGTCTAGGCACACAGTAGTGTCCACAAAACTCACTCAACAAGTCTCGTTTCGCGTAACGGTTCGTCATGTCTCCGCTCGAGACATTTATCTCAGAGAAAAGTTGCATGGTCATTCATAAGCCTGACCAAAACCAAACACAGACTCGCTTCTTTTTCATACCGTCGTCTCGCCTTGGTTGCTGTTGCTGAGCCTTTTATAAAACCTGCGCCACGACTGCAGAGTTTTCCCAGACCATATCCAAAATCCAGAGGTGATTCCTACGATCATGGTCATCAGGTACTTTATCATGAACACGGTAAAGTCTGGAGACATAGGGGCGAAGTTATTGACCGGGCAAGGGACGGCGAATCGCTTGCACGTCTGCATGTGCCAGGTCTTCTCCCATTGCTCTCGGAAAGCCTGCTCGTAGAAGTAGCAGGCGATCACGATAGTCGCGGGAACCGTGTAGAGCACACTAAACACGCCGATGCGCACCATCAGCTTCTCCAGCTTCTCCGTCTTGGTACCGTCGTGCTTCATGATGGTTCTGATGCGGAAAAGCGACACGAAGCCGGCCAGGAGAAACGAGGTGCCGATGAAGAGGTAGACGAAAAGCGGTGCCAGGACGAAGCCACGCAGCGAGTCAACGTTGTAGATGCCAACGTAACACACACCGGTGAGGAGGTCGCCATCCACCTGGCCCATGGCGAGGATGG